GAGTGAGTCATATGCAGTGTCAGAATACATTGATCATTTCTTACTACCTCTAGCATGTCAACATCGCGCCTACCTTAAAGACACAACCGATTTTGTCAATAAAATAAAAAATCTTCGAGTTCCCTCTAATGCTATTTTAATTTCTATCGACGTTTCTTCTATGTATACCAATATCGATAACACTACTGGTTTAACGGCAGTTCGTAAAGTTTTTAATAGAAACCCAGATCCAAACAGACCCGACGATGCAATTCTACAGCTTTTAGAGATTTGTCTTAGTCGAAACAATTTCACATTTAATGGTAAAACATATTTACAAACTTCAGGGACAGCAATGGGCAAACGATTCGCCCCTTCGTACGCAAACCTTTTCATGGCAGAGTGGGAACGTGAGGTGTTGCCCCTCTGTCCATTTGACCCACTTTTTTACGGACGCTTTTTGGATGACATTTTTATGGTTTGGACTTATTCTATCGAACAGTTTTTGGAATTCTTTGAAATTCTCAACAACCACCATCCTATCAAACTAACCGCAAACGTGAGTGACAAAAGCATAGACTTTCTCGATACCACAGTCTTTAAGGGAGATTCCATAGCAGAAACAAATAAACTGGATATTAAAGTGTATTTCAAAGAAACTGATACTCATCAACTCTTGCACAAGAGCTCCTTTCACCCAAAACATACCTTTTCTGGTATAATTAAGTCACAAGTTTTACGATTTCATCGAATTTGTACCAGATCTTCTGATTTCAACCAAGCCTGTACGATTGTTTTCTCAAAACTGAAAGAGCGTGGGTACTCTAAACGATTTTTACGAAACATAAAAAATTCCACCTTAGCACAGATAGCAGCTAAAAACAGACTTTATGCCGAAGTACCTCCAGGTTTAAGAAGTGCTCCATGTTTGTCCAGTCGATGCAAAACATGTCCCTTTATATCAGAAACTCATTATTTTGTAAGCAACTCTACAAATAAAAGGTACCCGATCCAGGAACATCAAACATGTGAACATTCGAATGTAATATTTAATTTCATGAAAGAAATGCCCCAAACAATATGTAGGAGAAACTAAGAATAATTTACGAACTCGCTTTAATGCTCATAGGTCAGACATCAAATTAAAGAAAGACAAGCCTGTTTCTAATCATTTCAACCTCGACGACCATTCAATAGACGACGATCTCGCCCTAATCCCAATTGAGCGTATAGAAATTGACTTGCCCGAAGATGAAACTACCAAATTCCGTCAATCTAGGGAAGCCCATTGGATTGAGACATTGAATACAGCAAGACCTATAGGACTAAATATTCATCATAATGTAGGCATAGCACCCTTTGTTGTCCCGTTTAATACAACTAGCAATCGAGCAAGACCTATAGGACTACATATTCATCATAATGTAGGCATAGCACCCTTTGTTGTCCCGTTTAATACAACCAGCAATCGAGCAAGCAAGATAGTTCATGCCCACTCTAAGAGCCTTCAAGAGAAATTCCCCCATGTCTATAAGCAGAAAATGATAGTTGCATATTCAAAAAATAAGAACTTAAATGATAATATTGTTCATAGTAAACTAAAAACAATCAGCACATAACAGATACTATACTTCTCGCCCATCGGGCGAGTTATTTTTTCTAATTTCAGATCAGAATAAGAACAGAAGAAAACCCAATATCAAGACCCTTAATACTAATTTCTAAATAAAGTGTCTGCTCCACCCTAGGCCTGTACATTTGGGAGAATCAAACCCCCCCTTCCTCGAAATCTAATTATTTGCAAAATATTAATTTCACATGTTCCTATTAACACGAATCATCTAGTTTAGCGGCATGGGGAAATTCATCTAATCTACCAATGAATTTGAGAAAGATCGAGGATGTTAATATTGCAAAATACACTAAAGATAATTGGGAATCTTTAAGACACGAATGGGAACCTTACGCTAAAAGAGATACGTTGTGTCTCGGAGCTTGTTTGATAAAATACAATCAAGCAATGAAAAAAACTGTCTTCCAAAACGTTTCCAATAATCTAACGGCTCCTTCTTTATCTTTAAAGGGTTGGTATTATTTATATCATTACGATAAAGAAATGGTTGAAGAAGAATGGTATGAAACTACTAGATTTATTCAAAGAATACAGTGTTATCTCAAAAGATAAAACGGAAGTTCACGCTAAACTCAAAGAACTGGACTATTCTAAACCGATGGCATTTGACGCTAATGGGTTGTTCGCTTCCGCCATGACAGAAGGTGAATATCCTAAAGCGGAAAGTGGAAGACCGTTTGTACCAGAAGAAGAAAAAGAATTTGTAAAACTCTTCAATAAACAAAAATTCAGACCTAGAACTGCTATTTTAAAAGTCTGGTTTGAGTATCCCAAAAACATGTTCTTTCAACCCATACCAGCTAAAGATAAAATAACTTTTACGAATAGAATAGGTAAGAAGGAAACTGGAATGGAAATGGTTTCTGTCACGACGTTTTAACATCGGTTGATATTCAAGAAATAGTGAAATCCGGTGGTAAAATTATTAAAATATCAGATGAAATAGTATACGAAGAAAATTTTAAAACTCCACCATACAGAGATTATATTTTAATTTTGAAGGAATTAAGGAATAAATACAAAAAAGAAGGAGATATGGTTGCTAGTAATTGCATGAAATTATTAATTAATTCCTTATACGGTAAATCTATTCAGAAGGATATAAATACATCGAGACATCTATGGAGTGAAGCGACTTTTAAAGCCAACTTCGATTCACACGTCAAAAGCTATGAAAAAGTAAATGATAGTCAATTTATAGTTGAGATGAATGAAGAAGAAAAATAGTTTGTTCCTCCAAAGGATTTTACTAGATTAACACCCGCTTATTTAGGTGCATTTATATTATCTCACAGTAAAAAAATAATGAACAATTTCATTCACGTAATAGATGGATTTTATAAGCCGGAAATATACTATACAGATACTGATAGTTTATACATTTCGTCTAGCAATTGGGATAAATTAAATGAAGCTGGGTTGGTGTCTGAAAACGAATATAGCAAAGGGAAGAATGATTATATTGATGGTGGAATCATATTTGGTTTATATTTAGCGCCAAAAGTAAAATACAATATCATTCTAACTTCCGACGGTATTCTAAAAAAAAAGAAAATGTTTAAGGGTTACTCTAACTATAAGATTAAGACTACATTCAATTAGCTAGTGGACATGACGTAACGAATGAATTTGATAAACCTTGGGTAAAAAGTTTTACTGATGGAATAGTTATTCCTAATGAAAAACAAAAGAAAGTTTTCAGAAGTTATCTGAATTTCGTTAAGAGAAAAGCACCAAACAGTGAAGGAATTATGTATCCTTACAACGACGGAAAAGAATTAAACATAGATGAAAACTATGAATTTGATGATCACGATTATTAAGTGGTAAATACGTCGTTTGAAATGGTTTCTCTATAATTCTATATCCTATCGGTACAGTGAATGTTGGAAGACTGTAAATAATCTGACGTTTGTATTTATTGAAAAATCCACCGTTTATCAAATTGCAATGTATATTTATCACATCGATATCATTCTCGATATTAGCTTTGTGTGGTGCTAAAGTGGATTGGGTGTATACTCGTTTATCAAATCCTAGTAACGTATTCAATGAATTTTCTACGTTGAAATCAACTTGACCATTATTTCTTAATATCAATTTTATTTTGTTTAGATTCAAATTACCTTCGAATTCAATATTGTTTTTACCGCTCACGCTACCTGCGTATTCAGATAAGTATTCGTTAATGGCTATGTATTCATAGCTTCCTGGTAGTAAACGTATGATTTTGAACGTAACTCCGTCATCTGTTGATATTTTTATTTGGTTATTTTTTTCGTTGATATTTCTAATGGAATTGTAAACAGAGAAATACTTTAATCCCAATTCATATTCTTGATTGCGATCGAGTTCGTACTCATAATCTAGAGACAATTTGATGTCTGATTTATTCGAGGTTGTTCTTTGACATTTTTTATTACGCTTTTATAATCATTTTTATCTATGATACCTTCTCTAGGAGTCTTTTTAATATACAATTTACTTCATTATATTGTCTGTGTGATCGATGTCCTTCCTTCATTGCCGCTAATATTACTCGTAATCTATTAAGTAGTTCCTCGTTGTTGTCGGATAAAAACGTTATACCTTCTCCAGATACCATATCTTCGAATTCGTCTATTTCTTTTGTGATTGAATTGTTGTCTTCAGCATAATCACCTAACTCCTCTTCATCACGTTCAATTACTCTTTTATATAGTTTAACTTCTTTCGATCTTCTTGATTCAGGTCCTGACTTTCTTATTGCATCTAGAAATTTTGAGTATGCTACTAAATCGGCAATACCAACATCCTCGCCATTCAGTAAATCTATTAATCCTCTCGTTAATGTGTATATATATTCTTTTGTATCGGTTATAAATTCGGGGGTATTTGCCCTAAATCTTATTCTAAATCCATTAAACCGTAACCCTGCTTCATCAATGATTGGTGAAATGCTCTTTGGTAAATCTGGGTCAGGGTTTGAAAAATAATGTTTTACATCATCTACTGTCCTAATTATAATACCATGATATTCAATCGCTTTGGGAGGTTCTATAGGAGCTAAGGGTTCTATAGAAGGTTTATATTCTAATTTCCTTTTAATATCCTCTTGAGATTTTAATATTGGTTGAAATAGAGTTTGTAGATTTTCCGTTAATCCGAGTTGTTGTAATCTGTTATTTTCAACTTGGGTTTTTATTTTATTCTTAGCTTTGATATATTCTTTATTTCTTTTTAAAATATTATTCCAATCGCTACTCATTTTTAAAAAAATAAAATTAACATATATCGATATATATTGTAAGCTTTACAAACCTTTTTAAATGCATCTCTGTCCATTCTGTGATTTATCGATTGAACGATTTGAGATAAATCTTTGTCGTTTAATTCAAATAATAAAAAACAATTCGCATTTTTTCTAATGAACATAGAATCCACCCCGTTAAAAGATTGGGATTGGTATATGCAGTGACAGTTGTGATGTCTTCCTTTCGTGAAGAATTCATGTTGAACAGCTTGATTTCTTTGCGCTACGCAGTCGTCAAACAACATTAAGTTCTTTCGCTCGCTATCAATTTTAGACAAATCTAGATCATTAACATTTTTCGTAAGAAAAACTTTTATATCCGTTGGATTGAAAGATGGATTCTTTGCTTTAATGAAGTTATCTATGATATCTTTTATTTCCATTTCTTCTTCGTTTTCTTCGTAATATTGAAATATGTCTTGAACATCTTTCTTTGGTAAATATTCTAAAGCTTTGAGGAATTGATAATATGATTGCCCAGGTGTTGCTGTGTAGATATACAAAGAATCGAAATCTAAAAGGTTTGGTGTTGTCAACATGTTAAAAGTGAGATGAGTTTTCCCAGAACCGGAACTACCGCATATACACATGAGCATTGGGTTATTAGGAAATATTTCTGAATGATTAAATTTTTTACCCATTTTTTATTATTTTAATTTGTTCCAAAAATAACTCCTTCTCCTTTATACTTCGAAAGATATATTCCTTCTCCGGTGTGTATATTT